TTTTTTCCTGGGTGACCATAAACCCCCCAGACAGAGGAAACTCAGAGACACTTTACATTTAATACGATGGTGCAAAGAATGATAATCAATACCGTGTTTCCCCTAAAATAAGACACTGTCTTATATTTAGTGCATTTGGTATCGCTCCGCCTGTGACTGGAGGCGGGGCTATTGAGGAGGCATAGGCTTATGCGGCTCTGCTCCCTCCTCTGCCGCCTCGCTTCCTCTAGCGCCGGCTTCGTTGGCACCGCTGATTCTCACCCGCGGCTCTTCAGGTTCCCCCCTTATGCCACCACCGGCCCTGGGAATGGCCACAACTGGGTCTTATTTTCCGGGGTCGATCTTATATTTTAGCAATTCCCAAAAATGGTACTAGGTCTTATTTTCGGGGAAAACAGGGTAGCAACCAATCAGAACTCAGATCTGTTAGATGGTCTATACATGTTCCTGCACTTTTCACCGACTCTCTGGATGAGGCTCCTCGGCCTCCGATGAATTCTGTGGAGGACATATTCTTCTCTCTCCCTCTTTCCTTTTTGGAAATCTCTCATATTTTCCGCTGGCTCGAGGCCTCTGATTTTATTCTCATCTTCTGAGAGTTCCAGCTTGCGTCTCCTGATACTTCCTTCCGATGAGAAATGAAGCCTGCAGATGGGATGTTGTCCTGTGTACGAGACGGATGCTGATATACAGTGTAACATCCTGTAACAAGCTGGCCGATCAGTAGAATCTGCAGGAACCTCATCCCATCCATCACATGGGACTTCATGAGGGTGAATGTACATCAGGACTTTGGTAACATAAGATATGAAAACCTATAAACTTCAGAAGGTCAAAATTTAAAGCTCTTCCCGCACCCGTCCGCTCCAAAGCTCGTTATACAAAGTTAAAATATATTTATAGTCAAACCTTTTTTTTTTTTCTTTTTGGATGGATTAGGAAAGGATTAAATAGGGATGCACCGATACCACTTTTTTAAGACCGAGTACGAGTACCGATACTTTTGATCAAGTACTCGCAGATACCAATTACCCATACTTTTTCTTAAAGGGACAGGTCACATTTTTGCTAAAGCAATACAAACTAATGCTTTAAGGTCCCTATCTTAATATTATGATTCATGAGATGACGAGGGAGCAATCAGAATGCCGGGCGCTGCGTCATTACACACCGCTCCGCTTCTGGATTTGCTAGCTTCCTGATACAGGAAGTACTCGTGCTAGGTATCAGAGCATTTGGGCGAGTACGAGTACTCACCCAAATACTCGGTATCGGCACCGATACCGATACTAGTATCGGTATCGGTGCATCCCATTAAATCAGTTTTGGTTTTTTTTGCCTTCTGTATCCAACTGGGGAGATTTCTCTTCACTTCCTGTCGCACAGCCATAACAGGAAGGGAGGGAATGTCTTTCCTAAGCAATGAGTAATGCTCTCCTATACAGATTGGCAGATTTCCCCTCACTTCCTGTTCTAGTGACAACTAACATTTTGGATTTCCCATGATCTCTAAGTAAGCTGGAATGGTGAATCGCGTTGGTGGCTGTGCATACGCGTGGGGGGACTAACAGAAGGTATTTGCTCCATAAATAAAGATTTGTATCTTCAATGAAGACCCTCGGAGTGCGGCTATTTCTGGATTTTGGTGGCTATAGGTCAGTGGTGGCAAACCTTGGCACTCCAGCTGTGCCCAAACTACATATCCCAACATGCATCTGACTCTGGGAGTTACGTCTGTGGCTGTCAGAGCCTTGCAATGCCTCATGGGACTTGTAGTTCCAAAACAGCTGGAGTGCCAAGGTTCGCCATCACTGCTATAGGTGATGGTGCGCTTGTTTGCCGGCACCTGGGATGCAATCACAGTGCAAGCCGGTTCTGGAATTTGAGCGGTGTTTGCTGTGGATTACATAATGAGAAATACCCTCTTGTACAACTGTCCACATTGTGAGATTTCCCCTCACTTCCTGTTCTGGTGACAACTAGCATTTTGGATTTCCTATCACTTTTAGTCTCAGTGATAGTAGTCACCAGGAGGAAGGGGGGATCTCCCCAGACAGAAATAAAAACCTGATGAGGGGTCTAATCCTTCCACATTCCGTCCAAATCTAATAAATAATTCGGGGATGCACTTTAATCAGATTGCAAAGGTGTTACACCCGGAGCACGGAGTCATCTCAGAGCAGCAACAATGTGGCGATGGGGACGGAGGTGACGGAGTCTGTGGAATGATACATGTATCCAGGCGCCGGGATACACAATGACGTCATCTCAGATCACTATATACAAATGTCTGAACATTCCCAGAATTCCTCGAGGAAATGAGGTGCCACCCTGACAGGCCGGCCAGACTGGTGTATGATCAGGTGGGTATTGTATGTCGTTCTTAGCATGTGTTGGTTTTACACGTGTGTAATATGAAGACATTTCGTGTCTTTTCCAGCCAATAGCGACGAGCAGACACCAGGCCCTCATAATGTCCCTGTAATAAGATTGTCTCTTGTTAAGTGTCTTCTGTGGGCCGATTTCCTCTCATCACCTTCACTAATGTCTAATCTCTTTATCCTCTTTGTGGGAGGTAATTGATCCAGAATGATTTTATTCTGCTGCACAGAAAGCCCGGCATGGAAGAACCACAGCCGTATATACCTAAAGGAACCTCTGGCTGTCCTGCCGGCCGTGACCATGCCCTGCGGGTTCTGTTTCCAATGTGGCCGCCAGCGCAGAACACCAGAATTGTGCTAAGATGGGTTTGGTAGTCTGTTGTTTTCGGCACCGGGTGAACGGGGCGGTTCCGCTCCGTTTGTGGATTTCCGTGCTGAAAACAAGTTTGAGGCCAATTATTGGCCGGATTTGTGGGAGGAGCCCCGCATATTTAAGCTCCTCTGTTTTCCCCACCCACCCGTCGGGACGATCGTGTCATCCCACCCTCCCGTACCCCTTCCATTAGAGTTACTCTGAGTATGCCCCCTTATTTGCATACTGACCATAGTGAATGAATGAATGTTGGCATCCATGTTCTGCCATATTACTTAGAATAGAAGGACACATTTAGCGTAACTCCACAAGGTCTGTATTGCATATGACAAAATAGAAAGTCAATGCCCTTCGGGGCTCAGAAGTCCTCCTTCATTAGGACTTGTAGAGAATACTGGACAACAATTGAGATCATTCTGGTACAGGTCGCCAGTCTGGTCGCCGGTCTGTTACTTACAAACGCTTAAAGGAGAAGTATGGGGTCAGTGTTTTTCCCCATAGTTCTCCTTAGGGTAGCGGGAGGACACAAACTACCGTCCTCCCGTCACCCTAAGCTCAGTATATAGGGAGCTACAGCTCGCGGTATACTGAGACGCCGCAGCCGGAGCGGATCCCGACGTAGATGACGGGATCCGCCCAGCTGCGTGAGTGACAGCTGGCTCTGCCTGCTGTACCCGCCCCCTCCCCCATCCGTTCCGCCAGTCAGCGCTGGCAGATTGGAGCGGGGAGGGGGGAATCCAGCCCCTCCCCTGTCACGGCAGAGAGCCGTGACAGGATCGAGAAGTGAGCGAACGCCGGTATGTGTTCTCTCACCTCCCGATCTACTGAGCCGACCTGTGACAGTCTCACAGGAAATCACTCATCTCATAGTTCTCCTTTAACCCATTGCTCCCCCCGAAAAGTGAATCCCAGCTCCTGAAACGAGTTACTTCCTGTCAGAATTGCCTGTATCCCCTTCTGAACCCTTACAGTCCCTGTGCTGAGGTCCTACAGCCCCAAAATCTCGGTGCCAAAAAAACCCAACTCTTTTCTTTATTTGTAGAAGTGTCTGGAAGGAAAGACGTCCTTGTTGGCCATTTAATAACCCATCAGATGTTGTTCTTTTGCAGTGACGAGGACCAGGCCCTTTCCAAGTACAACCCCAAGGTGGTGACGTACGTGATGGGGCCCGGGCGGCCGCAGAGCAGAGCCCGGTCCAGAGAGAGCAGATGGGGCCGACCCATAAGCCAAGCTGGAGGTGAGCGGTGAGTACCAAGAGGAGCCGTGAGAACCAGGATACCTGATACAGAAAACATGTCCGCCCCCTATCATCAGTCTACTGCGGAGGTGGCACTCTGGCTGTCGGCATTCAGAAGTCACTGATTAGAAGTAGATGAAGTGGAACTTTCCAATGAGAAGCCATGTTTGGACAGCTGAGCATTATGGGGAAGGAAGTGAAATTGCTCACAAGACCACATACACGTGCGGTGCACCCCTCAGATTGACCACATCAGGGCTGTCTTGTCTGTGCACCTCATGTACGGGCCACACAGACAGTGCTTGGGTAGAGAGTGGGAATGGGTTTTGGGGTTGGCTGAGGTGGGGGAGGTGGTTGGTGAGGATGGTTGGGCCCCCCCGGAGCTCTTGGGGAAGCCACGGTCTGATCGGCCATGGGGAAACTAAAGGAATGATAGATCTATTAGGAGGGGCTGGAAATCACCGGGAGGGTGGTCCATGGGTTACGGAGTGCCTAAGTTTGGCCATGATTTTTGAGGTCAGGTTTTCATTTGTAAGTGTCCAGCATGCACCTGTCATCGCAGGATAACTTTATACTCGCACCTCATACCAGAGGAAAGCCTTCTTAGAACACAAGGGTTGGAGAGCTTTTTCATTGCTTTAGTCCCTTCTCACTAGAACCTGTATAGTCATTCTGTGTCTTTGGGTCCCAATCCTACTCCATAGAGGCCATGGTTTCCATACTGCACTGATGATTCTGGATGGGGATCTGGCTGATGGGGCATAAAGGAATGATTTCCATGGCTGACATGAGGATAGTCCTCTTATTTGATGGAATTAAACATATGAACGCATTCTGTTATGTACTTAAATTGTAGCCATACAAATCTCTCATACAGAACATTTATTATACGTTATTTATATACTTGTATTTCATCCTGTTCTCTGATGATGATGACTGAAAGGTGAACAAGTCTCTCCTGGCTCTCCTTCCTCTGCAGGCCTCTCTCCTCTCTCTCTACTGGCTCCAGCATTGAGGACGACCTGGAGGAACTTAAGGACAAACTCAAGATTTCTGACATTGATGTAGTTGTACGACACCTTCAGTAAGTGCTGTGATCCCCCCCCTTCCCCAACCCCCTCTATTTTGGATGAGTACATGTATTCTACAGTGTAAAATACATGAGTGAGTGACCGAGGAGGGGTCTCTTTCCACCAGGTCTGGAAAGGATGAGGGGACTAGGCTGATTAAGCAGGGGTCTCGCTCCACAAGGTCTGGAATGGATGAGGTGGTGACCAAGTATTATTATTATTATACTTGGTCATTTATAGATCACCAACAGTTTGCGCAGTGCTTTACAATATAAGGAAGACATTACAATCAATACAATTCAAGACAAGATGTTAAGGAGGGCCCTGCCCCTGAGGGCTTACAATCTAAAGTAGGGGTTGTTCTCCACCAGGTCTGAAAGGGATGAGCGGTGATTAAGCAGAGGTCTATCTCCACCAGGTCTGAAAGGGATGAGGGGGTGACCAAGTAGGGGTTGTTCTCCACCAGGTCTGGAAGGGATGAGGGGGTGACCAAGTAGGGGTTGTTCTCCACCAGGTCTGGAAGGGATGAGGGGGTGACCAAGTAGGGGTTGTTCTCCACCAGGTCTGGAAGGGATGAGGGGGGGGGGGAACGACAAAACAGAGGTCTCTCTTTACCAGATCCGGAAGGGATGAGGGGGGACCAAGATGAAGCCTCCTTACTCTAGACCTGGAGTGTGGCAGGGGACCTAGTAGGGTCGCTTTCTATCAACTCTAGAAGAAGGGGGTAACAATTCGGAGCCTCACCAGTGAAAGTGAAGTCCACCCGGATCTGCTGCTGGAAATCTGTGTCACTTGTAAATAAATGACTACAACAGACCGAGAAAACCAACCTCCTGCATTTGATTTGTGCGAAGAGCAGGCTGCTGATCGACCTTCATCTGGAGACCGGACTCCCGAACTACGCCCCCCTCCCACCATCGTGCTGCGTCAGGACTTTCCTGGTTCCAGGCGTGTGGACGGGAGCTTCTGGATGACACAACAAGAGAGAACGATGAGAGTTTTTATTAATATGCAGATTTGGCTTTTGGGGAGAACGTTTATCTTGTAATTGAAGAAAATTCCTTAATACCGGAACGGACTTCAGGACTTCAATGCTTAAAGCTGAACTCAAAACAGGATGTTACCAATAACCATCTTACACGTTACATATTCTGCGTTCCTCCCCTGTGCCCCCCCGTGTCCATCAATCCAACATCAAATCTGTGAGAACAATTCCCCCGGCACACAACCAGTCCCACTGCTGTCTCCCAATGCTGGGCATTGGTGGTGCACAAGCCCATTGCAGCCCGAGTCTGTGGCGGTGCCGTGATGATGTCACGTGAAGAGGGTGGAGCCTTTCTGCGGATGCCTCTCGGTCCCTATCAGATTAAACTTCAGCTTTAATGCGCAGGGGCTCTTTAAGCTGCGGTCTACATCTGTAGAGTCGCACAGTCGATCCTGACATGGTGCCGCGGCCCCTGACCACACCGCCATGACAGATGGATGGTTCAGCTTGTGGTCGGCTGGAAATTATACCCGGTCACAATCCTCCGGCACGGGGCCCCCTTCCGACTTTCCTCATCCTATAATTTAACGTTATTATGACTTCCTCTCTATATACAGAGACCACAAGAGCTTAGTGCTGATTTGGTCTTTGTTTTCCATATAGTGGCCGAATCTTTAAAATTACGTCCATGATGCTGTCTGTCAATGCAGTTTTTGGTTTTGTGAGTCCCCCCGTAACATTGTTTTGTTACCTGTTAATCCTGCCGGGAGATCTGATCTTTTTCCACTTCCTGTAACAGACCCAGCTGTCCAGCAAAAGTGGCATCTATAGGGGCTGGGACAAACCATATAACACTGTGGGGGGAATGTCA